CTGTATCCGAACAGAATGGCGTCATTCCTAAAATAATCCTGCAATTTAGCCTTCCTTATACGTCAAAGCCAACTGTGCTTTACACAATTCAACCGTCGTTCTAGTTTCTTTTCTAGAAAAGCTCTCATGAGTTCACCATAACTCCGGACTTAAGAGCGTTAAGGAACAAACCGGATTTCTATGCTGTTTCGCACATGAAAGCTGTTAGGTGACAGAGCCCGCTTCTGTACCACTCATGAGGACAATATGATCTGCATAATCAAGATATCTATCTAAGCGGATATCTTGGACTGCACGTTCCCGCTAGAGTAACACCTCAGATTTAAACAGGATCTTCCTGAGAAAACAATGTGGAAATGTAGCAAAGGCGAAAGCACATCTCTGTGGTTAACTCCAATTGAATAAGAAATCACTCAAATAGCTTTCTTTCGAAATTGACAGCGGGCATTATTCCTACGTACATCTCGTCCAAAATGGAAACGCGCTGTTCAGGTATTCCATAACACTCAAGATTTCCCACGTCGTCCAACGCTGGAGTGAATCTGATTTCATACCTTGGATTGAGCTCGCAAATACAAACGGAGAAAGACTTGGACAAGGTTCTAACACAGAATTTTTACGGCTAGTTTACGTTCCATAAGCCTGAGAGCAACTACATCAGATGTGAGACAATTTGTAGCATCGTGAGACAATACTTGCCAAATGATACATAAACAGCATTAAGACAAAACTCTATGCACAAGTTCCAGATTTTAGTGATATTGTTAACACTACAGTAAACCCAATTGTATTTTGTAGCCAAAAATAGGCTATTTGCCACACTAGATTAAAGCTGCAAAACAAAGGACGAGAAAAACTGTTCAGAAATTGCTCGAAACATGCAGGCCATCTTTAGAGGTGTCTTTCTTGACGTCACAAAAATTCACTCTTGGCACGGTGGATAAATTGCTTCTCCTGTTTCACTACACAATTGCCGTATTCATGAAATATGTTTAGTCTAAAATTCATTTTTGAGTTATGAATCTATTTCATCTTCTGTTTCAGTCAGATCTTCGTAACACAGGTAACTGTGATAAAGGAAATAGAGCGCAAAGCATCTATGTGACACCGTCACATAGTATAAATCGTGGATGAAAAGTTAAGGACAGATTCAAGAACTACCTTATGGCAAATGAAGTACCCTTGTTAAACTGTTAAAGGACGCATAAGTCCTTTAAGTCCAGATTTCACGGCGCATTGCACTGGTCTTTGCTGCTGCTAGTTTGCCTGGGGAAAGTACATTTAAGCATTTGCAGAGCTAGAAGCATAATTTTGTTCGCTAGAGCTATTAACATCAACTGCGTATCAAGACTGAATTTATAGGACGGACTTTTGGCTGTAAAATAGTTCACAATTTCTCTACTTGTTACAACATATATAGAAGAGAAAAATAACGTTCTTTGTGAACGAAAGCCATATGTTTGGTTGGCTGGAAAAGTTGCCAGCGATGATTGACAAAAATGAGTAGGACTGAAAATGGCATGAAAATTTTCTTTCGATCATCTAAGTGACGAAATTTTCAACCGCTATATCGAATCCTGCGAAATCTGACAATACAGACAGATATAA